GGAAATGTCAACATTTCTTTCTCTGAATAAGATTTGGATTGGGATGTTGGCACCCTCTATGGCATGGAGTATACCAAGTGTTAATTATCCCAACAGCCTACAATCACATGGTCTCTGCCCTAAATTTTATTTTCCAAGGACATCAGAGAGCACAGATACAAGGAGATGGTTCCCAGGTACCACAACACTATTGCTCTCGACTCTTTCAGCCACTACTCCCAGTCTGATCCTTATTGTCTCAATTACTTCCACAGCATCTAAACTGCATTTCTGTTTTGTTACAAAGATTACTGATCAACAACTGGAAAAAGCAGTTTGTTGCAGACAATCACAGAAGAGAAGTATTGGAATGATATTAAGACTAAATATAGGCTACTGACTCAAAACATTTTTGTTCAGGTCTTATGTGGTTATGGTATTTATTCACCACAATGTGGTTAAATGGATGCTTTGTATTGGGAGCAAATAAAGCTTCCATTATCTTCAAATGAAAAATTAACTTGTATTAGTGTGTATTTCAGGGTTAGAGTTAAGAAAGATCCTTTTGTTATCACTTATCTAGATGTGTATTTCTCCTGAAACATTTCGAAAAAATGCTAAGTATGTTTGTTGTTTTTACTTTAAGCACAAAATATTCCCTCTAAAGTTTCAGGTAAAAACAAATGTCTGCTTAATTATATTTGTATTAAATGTGACTTAGTAAATACCTTTTTTTTTTTAATTTGAGAAGTTAAATTAAAATTGTATTTTAATGATAGTTAAAGAAGTATAGTTATTTTAGAAACACATGCAATGTAAGAATCCAAGTGTATATATCTTACTCTTGCTTTTAAAGAACAAATTTTCCCCTTGGAAATACTGCCGCCATCACCAACCACTCTGAAAGATAAAAAAATAAGAAAAGGTCATAAGATCTCCCATGGCTAATAGTGCTATCAGGTAATAAAGTCTATTTACATAATAAGGCTACTTATAGGCCAGGTGGACAGACATAAAAGGTAACAAATCTTCTCCCTTGCCTACCTCCCATTAGTCTAAAAAATCAGGTACTGCTTTCCTCGGTTTTCTTTGTAGTTAGTGCTAGCCACATAATCCAGTCTGGCTAATGAGAAAGAGAGGATATTTTGGGAAGCTTTTCTGATAAAAAGGATCAGATGCAATTGGTGCCAATCCTTCTGTTTTCCTTCCGTGAACATGAATATGGATGTGATTCCTGGAGTGCAGGCTGCCATTTTATAGTTAGGAAGTAATAAACATGAAGACAAAAAGCCAACACACTAAGAATGATGAAACAACGTACAGTACCTTGGTCTTTAAGGCACTTTACCAAACCTAGAACATCCAATTTCCTGATTTATTTGTATGTGAGATAATTGGATACCTTTATTGCTTAAGCCACCATTAATGAGGTTTCCTACTGTAGCCAAATACATAGCAACTAACTTACCAGTTATATACCACTGAGTATCTAAGACTGTTCCTAGAATTTCATGTTGAACATAAGTTACCAAAGTAAATAATCCATGACCAAAACCAGTGGACGAGTCAATATAGTTTGCAAGAAGACAGAACATATGAAGGGTAAACTTCGGTCTTCGGGCCAAGCCTGACCAGCTACTTGTTCTCCTAAAAATAAAGTTTTATTGGAACACAGGCACACCCATTGGTTTACATACTAGTTATACCTCCTTTCATGCTTTACTGGCAAAGTTGAGTAGATGTGACACAGACCTTACGGTCTGCAAAACCTAAAATATTTACCACCTGGTCCTTTATAGGAAAGGTTTGCCAACCCCTGGGGTACAGGTAAATTCCTATCATGCTGTTACAAAGGTATGATCATTTCCTCAAACAGATACAGAAGTGTATATAAAAATGTAAGATATGGTCTTGTTTTTGAAAAAGATTTTTTTGTATTAACTTATGGAACAGATACTGCATGTGTTGATGGTGCATGGAAAGAAGAGCAAGACGCCAAGCCCCTTCTCCCCACACTTGATACTGGGGAGATAAGAATGCTCTCAGGGGCCGGCCGAGTGGCGCGTTGGTTAAGAGCTGGCTTGGTACGCCAGCTCTGAGCAGCAGGGCCCCGATTCGGATCCCACATATGAGGGCCAGTGACACTGCCCTCTACAGCTAAGATGATGAACAACAGCTCAACCTGGAGCTGGGCTGCCGTGAGTCGCCAGCGATGGCGTAGGCTGCAGCCCCTGCGGCAGTAGGTTGCCATGGGCTACCGTGTGTAGCCAGCAGCCAGCGTGAGCGGCCAGCAGCCACAGTGAGCGGCCATCCAGAAGCCGGCGACTGATCTGCCTCGCCCGGGAAGAGTGCAATGATGGTGCAACTTGGGCCAGTGAAGCAACGTCCTCCACAACTAGACTGAAGAACAAAAAGGACAGCAACTTGTCTGTTCCCCTTCCCCCAATTCCCCAATTTAAAAAAAAAAAAAAAAAGAATGCTCTCAGGTCAAATTATAAAACAAAGAGTAGATGACAGTAGTTATGTGAAGTCACCTTATTAAGAGAAAATAGCTCCCAGGCTGTCTCAACTATGCAATATTCAGTCAAAGGTTGGCCATAAAGAATAGCGGGGATGGGAGTAGGAATTTAGTCAGAAGGGATCACCTAAAAGGAAGTATTACAAAAGCAAATTTGAGTCTCTTAATAGTATGTAGGGAAGAGGTTTTTCTAGTTCACAAACAAGAGGAAATCTCTTCTATATGACAGATCTCTCCATATAATAAAGATAAATGACACCAGCCATTAAGGTATTACACTAAAACTTCCCTTGGTCTGATTCCATGGTCATCAAGCAACCTTCTATTACCTAGCTTTTCAGGTAGATTTCCTACAGAAGAGAATGTGCTTTTGAAGAAAAATGAGTATTTAGTCTTCTTGAGATATAGTTCCTATTGTCAATTACTAATTGACTTTCTGCTTTTCAACTACTAATTGACTTTCTGCTTTTTAATTTCCCATTCTCTTTGAGTTTGTTTTTTTCTGCCTGTATTGGATCCATTCTCAAGGTGTCAACGTGGATTCTGAGTTTGCAAGGCTGAGGGTCATACTCTGGAATTCACCAAGAAGTGAGGAATAATTAACCTTCCCCAGGAGGTAACTGCCTCAAATACCCAACCAACTAATTCAAACTGGAACTGAAATTTTTATGGAATGAGATTAAAACTGGATATTAAGTATGTATTTTTCAGTTCAAGCCCACCATAGTTTAGCTTTCAGTGTTTTGAAACTGCATGAACTTAATGATTTAACATTACAAGTTTATCAACAAACGCTGAGTGTCAAATTACTTTTAGATAAAAGATATATAATCACATATACCCTTTATTAAAAAAACAAAAGTAATCTGACAACTGCTTTCCTCCTTTTTAGCACTTTCTATTTCTAGAGCAAATATTCCTCTGTATATTACATCCACAAATAACATCAGAGAAATGTAAACAGTGTATCTTTCTTTCAAAAGTTAGTCATTACTGAATGCATTAACAAGATACCCTCAGAGGCATTTTCAGCATTCCTTTAGTGAAACTTCATTTCAAGGTCAAGTTAACAAAAGATGGCACACTGACGGTTCTTTTTGTTCCTTATTATGGTCCTAAAAGAAAACCTATTGTCTTGCTCTGCAGAATGATATGAGAATATTAATGATATGAGAATGAGAAATTTGCTTTCTATGAGAAAAACAAAAAAGTCAAACATCTTTACAGTTCTCAACTGTTCTTACAGTCCTTTGAAGAATTCTCTCCCAAGCTGTTGACATGAAAAGTAATCATTATGCTATGTGATAGACTTTAATCCCATCTTACCTGGTATCCACATTTCTAAAGAAGCTGCTTATGGCTTCGTCATAAATTCCTTTCTAAAAAAAAAAAAAGAATTATAGCATTTAATTATGCTTTGCCTCTTTCCTAAAAAAATCCCACAATACTATAATGGCTGATATGCATCTGTGATAAGGCAAATGATCATAAAATGCTTAGGCTGATTCTTCCAATCTAGAGAAGAGTAAATGCTATGAAATCTATAAATTCAGTTCAGTGAATGATGCTTTATAGACCCCCGTCCCCATAGGGCTGTAGAACAGGTGACTCAAATGAGAGCTTTCTCTGGATTCTTGGTGATCATTTTAAAAGCTGACTGATTAAATGAAGGAATACAATACACACATGCTACCTATTTTATGAAACACTTTTACATATACTATCTAACTGCTCTTCACAAGAACCTTGATAAAGATGAGACCCTGGCAATTAGGGGAAACTTATGGCCAAGGTCTCCTGGCCAGCGTTGTTTAGTCTACTGTGTGTCTAACACCATTATACGTTTAAAAACCAGTTTGCTCTTGACTGAGAAGATCTCATACCACGTGTACCAGTCAAAGCAAAGCCCCCTTGAGTCATTCTTGTTTATCTGTGGGAAGAGCCTTGGCGGCAGGCGGGGCGGGCTCCCGGG